ATGAAAGAGTTCTGTCCATTTCCGTTCACGACGATTACACACAATATCATTTTGGAATTTATGAAGGTCATCTGTGGTAGAATGTCCTTGCTTGAAGCGAAAATGTACTTCGGGAATATACGCCGTAGATCCCATGATTTATTTTAATACCAATAATTTGTTCGAGAAATTTTCCTAAGTTTGAAAGCAGAGAAATTGGTCTTAAATTAGTTTTGTTTGGTTTTTTAACAACGGATATAATTTTGGACACCTTCCATTTTTTTTAAAAAATAGGAGTTATTTAAACAATTAAAAATTAAAAAAAAAAAACATTAATTATTCCATAGCTTTTGCAGGAAGCCTTTTAATTATATGATTGGATATGTTGTCCAAACCACATGACTTTTTATTATTCATTGGTTTGCAAATATTGCTAATTTCATCCATTGTTGTTAGTTGAGGGATTCCCATGTGATTGATTGAGGATTCTGCATCAGTAAAAGTAACAAGTGAAATATATTAGCTATTGCATTATTGACAACATCTTCCTTTTCCTGAATGGTGTCATTAGTAGGTAAGTGGTTGAAAATACTGCCAAAAATTGTTTTAATTTCTGGCAGGCAGCTAAATCGTCTTCAATAATAACCCCATTTTCAGATAATCTATTTAGGTTTCCTTTTCATTTATAACATATAATGTTATAAACTTGTTTATGTGCCTTTGACCCAGTTTTATTTTTCTAACCCTTTCAGAGAAAATTCTAGCCTGTCCAATCTCTACTTGTTGTTTTATGACAATAATTTATCCGCGTGAACTAACGGTCTGATTCGAGTGGGAATGAGACTGAATAACTCTGGATTGAGTTACAATGAGAGACATCCTGAAAGAGTTGTTTTTCAAATGAACGGGAGTAGACTTTGGTGGCCCTTTCAGTATTACGGACCATCTGCAGATGCCTCACTAGCTACATTTTCCAGATTCGTTGGTAAGCGCGCGGTCGTAACTTTGTCGGAAAAGCTTTTACAAGAGTATTGTGATGAAGTCTCTAGGAGAAAAACTATGTGTCAAATAGAGCGAAAAAGGATTCGCTTGCACTTTCATAGCTCCATGTGCACCACACACTAACGGCCTTTGGGAGGCGGCCGTTGACGAGTTTACGACACTTCTCGTACGAAGTGAAGCTGTACTAAACTCGAGACCGTTAAGCTCAGTATCAGGAGATCGGAATGATTTAGTTCCCCTGACCTCTGGTTATTTTCTGAGAGGAGCTTCTCTAACGATAACTTTGTCGAAGTGGACACCGATTTTTTGGCTGTAATTCGCTGCCTAGATTCCGGGAGTTTGCAAGTTAAGTTAGGGGTTAAGTTAAGAGGCGATTGCAATGCAACTTTTAAAAGCTTCGCATTCTTAAAATCCGTGTAGTTACTGATTTAGAATGAAATCACGGAAACCGTTGTAATTTTTATAGACTCGTCGAGTCGAAAACTCATATGGCTGAGGGCATAATTAAGCAAAACTTACATCCAACTCTCATAGAATAAACTCCTAAACGCCGTGAACAATAATAACTATAGAAGTGCTTGTGATCTCAAAGTATTACAAAGTCACACTGCTAAAAAGTAACGAAAGCTAAATTATTAAAACCAATAATGAAAAAACAGAAGTACAGACGAAACGGACATAATCCTTTTTTCGTTCCTTTATTTTAAGCCTAGTTATATTTAAAAAGAAAACAAGTAAGTAAAGGCTATAGTCGTGCGGGGCCGACTATGTGATACCCTACAACACCACAATATGATAGAAGCCCCCTTATGTCCAAATCCATTTTGGGAGATTTCGATTTTGAAATTATGTTATTAGTTGTTGTCGTCCATTTACAGCTGAATATAATCCAATGGTCATCCAAAATGCTACACTTTTTTCCTGTCCTTAACTCTCTTCTCAGGAGTGTCGATTTGCTTCAATTGTGTGATCAGGAACATTTTTCTGTTTTTGGTTCATTTGAACCCCTAAATATTTTGCGATCATCTCCAAAAGCAAGAGGACCCTCTGTATCTCATAATCTAGACTAATCTATATGATTTTCTTGTCTACGATATTCCTTTGTTTATTTCGAATATCGACTATAAGTAATGTTGGTATTTTTCACATAAAAGTAGTGGTCCATTCTACCCGCTGTCCTAAACTCTAACTTCATGCGAGATTTTGTGTTCTTTGGTTTCTATTTGTGATCTTTATAACGGCTGCAAAATCAGGAATATTTTTAATTTTTGTTCCATTTCAACCTCTAAATATATTGCGGACATCTTTGAAAACGATAGACCTAGCCCTTCTGAGCCTAATCCTACCCTTGCGAAAATTTTCGTGAGGATCGGGCGATAATTGCAATCTGTATATAACAACCCCAACCTGTGTTGTAAAGTGCAAAAATATTACAAAATATACACTTCAATATTATAAGTCAAATTGAAAAAATCGCATGCGATAAAAAAAATATGAAAAAATGTCACAAAATACTACAAAATCTATATTAACATCATTATTGGCGTATTTATATACGATTCTTTATAGATTTTATACTTGTATGCCAATAGGGCCTTCTAAATTGACAAAATTTGTCAAAATCGCTCTAGCCATTCTGGAGATATAAGCATTCTAGCTAACATCCCCTTCCTTTGTATATATACATTGTATATATTTCACTATATATATCCGATATATTTACTATCGGCATCTACGTAACGGTCAGAATTAACCTGTTCGTCTATTTGTGATTTCGCCGGCATTAAAAATATTCGCGGTTTAATGGAAAATTTGACTCTTCTTTATCACAAATGCTATGGTCTATTTCAACCACTAAATATTACCCGATGATCATCAAATTTGGAAGGCTTCTGCCCAGCCCAAAACTCTAGCTCCATGCTAACTTTCGCTTCGATTGGTCTATAATTATGATCTGTAGAGCAACTGCAAAGTCAGGAATTTTTTTCAGTTTTTGGTCCATTTTAACCCGTAAATATTATGTGATCATCTTCAAAAGAAATAGGGTTCTATTCTGACCGTAACCCCACCTACATTTTAAATTTCGTGAAGATCGGTCCATAATTGCGACCTGTAGATTGATTACAAATTAACATGGACAGACGTACGGACGGACATACATAGCTAGATCGACTCAGCTCGGCGAGGTAGGAAGATCCTTATATACTTTCCTATGTGGGAAATCAATATTTCGTGGTGTTACATAATTTTTGGCACAATCAAACTTATAATACCCCCAACACAAAGTGTTGTAGGGTATAATGAGCGATGTTGATCTACACCTCAAGTCAAAATGTGTTGGTTTTTAGTTATGCACAACTGATCAATCAAAGCGAGAAGAGAACGAACGAAGCAAATCACATCTGCTGGAATTAAATAAGTTAATATTAAAGTCACCAACAGCAATAATGTTTGAAAAGCGAGAAAAAAGAGATTAACCGGTCATTACGAAGTATCCTTTAATCTGGAATAGCTACAGATACATCTAATATGTCTGGTGACAACCATGTTTCCGAAATGGCTAATACATCTATAACATTATCTTTCAAAATAGATTTAAGTTCATTCATTTTTAAAGGAGGTTTTAGACTTCGGTAGTTCCAATGGCCTATTTTCATTTGACTAGAGTAGGGTTGCAAGACAGATTTAATATATGTGTTACAGCTAACTATAGGACCTAAATTACTATTAGAAGACATCATATTGTTTGAAAAAATATGCGGTGGGGAGCCAAAACAAATAGAATAATAAAGATGAAATAAAGAGTACAATATAATAAATTTGCGATATAATATTCTATTTCATGTTTAATACAAAATAACTTAAAATACTAGATAGCACAGCTGTTCGTAAAAAATATTAATGAGATCATACAATCAGTGTAATAGTAAAAAATCCTGCTACATAGACGAAACCTCGGATTGTTGCAATAAGGAGCATCAAAAATCAATGTCTCTTTTCGTCCTAACACCATTGCGATCAGTAATTTCCGCTAAAACTTTGTCTCCATTTAAAATTTTAAATTTTGAAATTAAGTTCAGTCGGCGAAGCTTGCCGCAAATTGAACGGAGTTTCGAAGCCGCAGGCGTATAGTGATCGTTGAGATATATACATCCTTTATAACATCACATACACGCATATTTCGGGTTCTAAAATATTGCTTCATAATGTCATCTCGAATACCCACATTATTTAGTTTGACTAAAATCTGCTTCCTATTGTGGATATAGCAGATATTATTGACATCACTTTTATTCAAACTGACTTTAAAGAAATCGGTAATTGATAAAACAGGCATAAGAAGATCATGAATTCCATCTGGTAAGCCACCAATAATGAAGTCAGCACGGTTTAAGCGACGATGAAGAATGTTATTCTCAGCTTCTAAAAGATTCATCTTAGACGACACTGACTCTTCAACATGGTTAATGCGGTCATTACATTTGACAATATCAGACTTGATTTCAGACAGACCCGAACTCAGTTCAACCTTCATATTGTCAATCTCATCTTTAATGCCATTCAACTCGGTTTGATGAACACCAACAAAATTATCAATTTGCCTCTTGAGATCTCGAATGTCGTCAACCACAGCAATATTTCGGTACATTATCAAGGTTTTGATCACATGCCGCACAAATAAATGAACTCACACCAATTGACTTCAGTGTTGAAAGATCTTGAGGTGAGAGTTTGGCACATGCTGAATGAATCCAAAAGACATAGGGTTGCCAAGAAATCCTGGAAATATGACTTTAATTTAACTATCATAAATAAGGTGCCATATGTTTATAAAAGTTAGAAGCTCCATAAAATATGTTAAAGAGTTGAAATCTTTGTCGATGTTTTTGTTATGTATATATATATATACTCTTCAAGGGACGTGTAGATGAGTATAGTTTTTTATATTTTAAGAATATAAATATAAATAAACTAATCCCATAAAACATTGTATTGAATTCAATTTTATTTATATCTAGGTATCATCTTCGTGTAGTTCCGTGTATGTCGATGGCTCTGAAATCCGTGGTTCATCAAACGCTTCTATAATGGTAAAATACGGAACTTACATTGGAGTTGCTAAATTCGTTGTCTGGATGCCGGAGTTTCCCCTTGAGGTTTACATCAGCGATTTTCGCCTTTCGCAAATTAAAGGGTGGAAAGTAATAGATGAACATCAATATATGTAAGTTCTTTATGCATCATTACGTTCCAAATATAATTAAAAAATTATTTTAAGAAATATAAAATTAAAACTCATTGCAGTTTTTAAAATAAAAATCCAGATCGCCGGTCCCGCTCCCTCCTGCCAAACTTGTTGATATGTTCTTAACATTTTTTTTCGAAATCGCAATTTTCTGTTAGACTCCCCGAAAAGGTTTCTTTTTTTTGGTCACATAGGTGCCGGATGTTTAAGTATATTGTGATCGACACTTGCGCCAAAAATCACGAATGTCCGCGAATATAAACCGTAGAAGCAAAGACACAAACTACTTGCGATTTGTATTGGTGTAGAAAGTCATTTACAATGTATTGAAATGAAAATTTAGTAGAAAAAACAACGCAATTTCACAAACATTTCGCAATTGTACAAAAATTATGATCAAAAACACTCGATGAGTACTTTCAAATATACAGGGTGAGATGAAAAAACTGCAACCAGACTGCTGTGATTTCTAAGCCACTCGTCCGACAGCTGTTAAAATTATTCCAATGACAGGTCGTTATATTGGTTACAAACGTATAAAATCAGTTTGGTGAAAGTTTTCCAAAAAAAAGTTATTCGTGGTGGAATGCACGCGTGATAGTGTGATTTCTTTATATTTAGCTGGAAAATCACAAGTGGCTATCGTTAAAGCACTCCAGCATTTAAATGTGAATAAATCTTTTGTGTCTCGTACCATCGCTCGTTACCATGATACTGGTACCGAAGCCCGACGTCAAGGAAGTGGTCGGAAGAAAACAGCAACATCAGCAGAAATGATTCGAAATGTAAAGAAGCGACTTGATCGAAACCCGCGTCGCAGAGGCCGAAAAATGGCTCGTGAGCTGAACATATCGCAATATTCCATTCGGCAAATATTGACAAGTGAGCTCGGGGTAAAGCCATTGAAATTCCAAAAAGTTCAAAAACTTACACCGCAACAGTAAGAAAATAGACTCAACGAGCTAAAGAGTTTATTCGCTTGGTCGAAAGTGGTGAACTGCTGAATTTGGTTTTCTCCCATGAGAAAACATTATTTTTCCAGCAATTTGTAAAAAATAAAATGATCGTAAATGATCCAAAGAGGTCAGCTGAAAATGTGCACCTTCGGTTGGCCACCAAAACTCAAGCGCCGGCCATGGTGATGGTGTGGGCCGCCATAACAGCCGATGGTCGCTCTCCGCTCGTATTAATCGATGGTGGCATCAAAATAAATGTCGAATATTATCGCGAAAATATTCTAGAGGGTGTATTAAGGTCTTGGTCACGCAAACATTTTGGCCGCAGACCTTGGACATTCCAACAGGACTCAGCACCATCGCACTGAGCACGCGCCACCAAAGAATGGTTACAGAATGATGTTCCTCGCTTCAATTCCAGCGCTAATGGCCACAAAAATCTCCGGATACCAATCCATAGGACTATTGTGTCCGGAGTATTTTGGAAAGCAAGGTTGGCACTAAAAATACCAAAGTGTCGATCACCTCAAGCAAGCGCTTCCCGAAAATGGGCCGAAATACCGCAGACCAACATTCGGGCAGCGTGTGACGGTTTCATTGGCAGTTTGAAGGCCATAATTCGTGCTAAAAATGACCAATTCGAACAAATCTAAACTTATTCTAAAATTTGATGCTATTTCCGACATTTTTTGCTTTCATTCAATAAAATTTAAAAAAAAAATTAAAAAGTATGGCGTTTGACTTTGTTGCAGTTTTTTTTATCTTTCCCTGTATATGTCTTATATTCCAAAATAACTTTTTAGAATTTCTATTGAAAGTGGGGTTGGCGGTATTGAATTATAAAAAAAGCTATGAAATACTCTCTAATTAGCGCGGCTTAAATGAGTATATATATCATATATTTTCAAGTAATTTCAGATAACTGAATTTGTCCGATTTTCTAACGGTATGTATAATGCATGGAAAACGCTGTATTGCAAAAAAATTAAACATCTTGATGAGTCTTTTCAGAATAAATATGGCTTATATTCCCAAATAATTTCAGATAATCTTATGTTGTTAATAAATTAATGAACTAAAATCAGAGGAAGTCTTTTTGCTAATTAATTTCCGTGCGCTCCAAACTTTTTGCATTTACATCATATTCTTTCAAATAAGGTGTGCTATGTCTCCTTATTATTTCAATAACGCGACCAATGATTTAACTAATTAAATATTGTAAAAACAAAAAAGGAACAAAAACATAAGAAAAAACGCGAGTATTTTTGAGTTCATTAAACTTTTAGCAACGAGTGAATATAAGAGAAAGCTACGTGAACGTATTGTTCTGTATATTAATGATTTCCTGAAACCATTTGGGAATAAAAAACATACATATTCTGATAGCTCTCCTCGAGAGCTGTCAGTTCAACGCGCAACTTTCATAGTTTTTATACAATTCCAACCCACTCATAGAATATCATATGTTTACATTTAAAAATATTTAATTCTAATTAGTGACTTAGTGACTTGATAAAAAATACAATGGTATGATTGCATTTTGAGTTGATCCTTAGGGTTGTTGAAAGAGTAAAATATTTTATTTTTAAAGCCATCGATTACTAATGTAGTTTGTTATAGGAGAAGAAATCTACGAATTCTATCTTTCTCTAAGGTTATTGCTTAATCTAGGCAACGTATTTCCACAGAATTATGCAATGATAAGAGAGGTCTTTCTGGTAATAAATTTTATTACGTAGTTTGACAAATGTGGAAAAAAACCTACAGCTCAAGATAAATATTTATTTTTATATACTTATATTTAATAAACTAATCAAACTAGCATTGTAAAAAAACAAGTTAAAAAGCAGTAAGTTTGGCCGGGCCGAACTTTAAATACCCTCCACCATTTGGAAACTTTCAAAAATAAAATCCTTAAAACAATTTAAAAATACCAAATATAGCCGTTATATTGACGTGGGCCTACATAAGCCATTACCATATTCAAATCGCAACTTGAAAAACACGGTGAATAATGAAGTTTAAATCATCAAAATATCGTATATAGGGCGGTACCGTTATATCGGAGTGCGAAGACCTGAACCTGCATAGACAATTTTCTGTCTCAGGCTGTTGCATCCATTACGAACTTCAAATACCACATCTCAAACAATTTCGGTGGGTATTGTACCTAAAATCGTCAAAATACCGAATATAGGGAGGGAGGGAGGGCCTATACGAGGACCTGGACCTATTTAGACAATTTTCTGTCACAGACTGTAGTCAAAACGAAGCCATAACGAACTCTAAATACATAATTTGAAACAATTCTGGTGAATAATGACGCTAAAATCATCAAAATACCGAATATTGGGAGGTACCGTTATATGGGGGCTATACGAAGACGATGACCTGCACAAACAATTTTCTGTCTTAGGGTGTAGTATCCATTTCGAACTTCAGATACCAAATTTGAAACAATTTCGGTGAATAATATCGCTGAAATCATCAAAATACCGAATATAGGGAGGTACCGTTATATAGGGGCTATACGAGGACGTGGACTTGCACAGACAATTTTCTGTCTTAGGGTGTAGTATCCAATTCGAACTTCAAATACAAAATTTAAAACAATTCCGTTTAATAATGTCGCAACAATCATCAAAATACCGAATATCGGGAGATACCGTTATATGGGGGCTATATGAAAACGGCCCATTTACGAACTTAACCTGCCTACTGAAAAAATAAACATGTGTGCAAAATTTTAGTCACCTATCTCAATTCATTCTAAAGATAGCGTGATTACAACAGACAGACCAACAGACGGACATCGCTAAATCGACTTAGAATTTTACGCTGATCAAGAATATATATACTTTGTTGGGTCTGACACGAGTATTCCGAGGAGTTACAAGCGGAATGACAAAGTAATATACCCTCCATAGTATGGTGGAGGGTATAAAAACAACAAGTAAAAAAGCTGCAAGTTCGGCCGGGCCGAATTTTTAATACCCTCCACCATTTGGTACAAATTTGACAATTTCCAAAAAAAAAAAATAAAAAATAAAATCCGTTAAAAATTCTGTTAAAATCTTAAAAATACCGAATGCCTATACGACGACGTGGACCTGTATAGGCAACTTTTGTCATAAGTTATTACAATATTTAAATGCGAAACTTGAAGAAAAATCTGTTTATAATGTAGCTAAAATCATCAAAATACCGAATATAGGGGGTACCGTTATATGGGGGCTATACGAAGACGTGGACCTGCACAGACAATTCTCTGGCATGGGCTGAAGTATCCATTACGAATTTCACATGCGAAATTTGAAACAATCCCGGTAAATAATGTCGCTAAAATCATCAAAATACCGAATATCGTGGGGTACGGTATATGGGGGCTATACGAAGACGTGGACCTACATAGCCCATTTTCTGTTTTATGCTGCAGCATCTATTACGAACTTCAAATGCCAAATTTGAAACGATTCCAGTAAATAATGTCGCTAAAATCATCACAATACCGGGGTACCGTTATATAGGGGCTATACGAAGACGTGGACCTACACAGATTATTTTCTGTCTTAGGCTGTAGTATCCATTTTGAACTTCAAATGCCAAATTTGAGACAATTCCGGTGAATAATGTCGCTAAAATCATAAAAATACCGAATATCGGGAGGTACCGTTATTTGGGGGCTATATGATAACTTGGACCTACATGGCCCATTTACAAACTTAACCTGCGTACTGGCAAAATATACATGTGTGCAAAATTTTAGCCTCCTATCTCAATTTGTTCGAAAGATAGCGTGATTACAACAAACAGACAGACAGACAGACGGACATGGCTAAATCGTCTTAGAATTTTACGCTGATCAAGAATATATATACTTTGTTGGGTCTGACATGAGTATTTCAAGGAGTTACAAACGGAATGACAAAATTAATATACTCTCCATAGTATGGTGGAGGGTATAAAAATGAATGACAGCAGTCTATTAGCAGTCTATTCGTAGAAATAATAATTTAGGACCCA